AGGCATTTTGTTATAGCCCAGAAATTTACTGAGTTACTTTGCTTTGATTCTGAAGATTTCTTCACCACGTATGCCTATAATCTCTTTCTGATCTCCTCCCGTTATGGATAGGTTCATGGAGATACCCCTGGGAAGAAATGCCCTCCACTCTCTGCAGCCCTCAATCCAGAGCCTCCTCCCTTGCATCCACCTGGAACCCCAGTCCCACAACAGGTTCTTCCTAGAGCCCACTTTCTGAGGGCTGAGAATCCCCATCGTGTGACTTCTCCCTTACTGAGGTCACCAATTCTACCTGCTCCACTAATCATGGGAGTGTCCAGGCTGGGGGACACTGCCTTCATAGACACGCACAGCTTTGGCCATGTGAGGAAGTCAGAATGAGCCTAGGGAGCTCTGAGGTCACCCAGGGTAGCCTAGGCCCATCCAAGGCATACAGAGCTACCAGCTGGTTCTGTCACAGAAGCTCTGGTCACATCCAAGCAGATTCTATTTTAGGTCCTGGTTTTTACTCCCTATGTTATCTCAACAACATAGTAGCTGCCATGTACCCTGAGAAGTGGTTGCAGAGTGCAAATGCCATTCTTCTCCCACTGTTCCTCTGTGGCTGCTTCTGCTCTTGATCGCAGGACATCCAGGTCTGATTCTTGCGGATACCAATGGTGACTGTATAACTCAGTCTTGAACAGTGAGACACAAGAGCAAAGTCTGCGGAGTGGGGAGAACAGCTTACCGGGGGTTTATTTCTAGAAAGGATGGTTGTGACAGGAACAACAGATGCTTCATCTTTCTCCTGATTTAAATAGGGCACAGGCTCAGAAACAGGACTGCATCTGTGACCTGGAGACATAAACATCATGACCTACTCAGAGAGGGGGAAGGGCGAGCAGGCAGAAATCGGGGGCCTCCGTGACTCCACACATTTGAGTCTGTGCACTGCGTCTCCTCCTCCCTTGTCACTCAGTCTTGCCAGGGACCTCAGATGGAGGTGGGCAATGCTCCCTCCTGCTCCCCTGCGACACAGGGAGTCAGTCAGACTGAGCCTGCCAGCTGCTCAATTCCGGGAAAGGCTGCTGGTGGGAGGAAAAGCAGGTGCTGGAATGGATCCCAGATTGCTGCTGCCTGGCTCTGCTCCTGACCACTTACACAGCCCGGGCAGGGAGTCTCCCTTCCCCAGCAGCTGTGCTCAGCTCTCCACAGGAAGCAAAGAAGGGCTTTTACTGCAGTTTCTCCCTCTCTGTGGCTGCAGTGCCTGCTGGTTGGGCAGGGAAAGAGGATGAATCTCTACTGAGGTGGCAGAGTGAAGTTTGAGCCCCTAACCAGGCCTCCAGGGCCTCCTGCCTGCTGCTGCCTGTCTTTGCTGGCCCCTCTTTGCCTCCTATGAACCTTGCTTCCAGTCCACTTTCTTAACTATGATCTGAACCTTCAGCTCCAGGGGTTGACAGGAGCTTCTCCTGCTCCTAGAATGCGCTCCCCAACTTCCCCTAGTGCTCATGCATCCTGCTCCCTGCTGACTCCCCCCATCACCCTGCTCTCCCAGGCAGCCTGGGATGTGGACACTCCTGGGTCTTCCTGATGTCCTGCTCCTGTGGGCATCTGTTTCCCAAGGGACACTGCTTCCCAGCAGGGCCTCCTCATCATCTCTTGTATGTGGCACCTGGGACCATCCAAGATACCCTCCATCCTTCTGGTCCAGCCTGATCCCCAAATCCAGGGTGTGGGAGGCAGTCACTGGACATAGGAGCCATATCCCCTGAGGACAAAGCCCCACTTCCCCTGCCTTCCCAGTTGAGTCATTTCATTTGATTTTCTCATTTGTGCCCCTCACCTGCCTTTTTTTGTTAGGGAGAAAACAGGACTATGGCTGAGGTTCTACAAGACACCTCACTGAGGTCAAGTATTTGTGGCAGTTGTATTCGATATTTGAGTTTCCTTTGATGCCTTTGCATCACTTCCCATCAGTTTTCATATTTTAAGTTGAGCAGAAACAAAAAAGAGAGAATTTCAAAATCAAGGGTTCAGCAACACTCTGCAGAGTGGCAGGGCTTCCGTGTTTCTAAGCCCCTTCCCTGGTGCTGCTTCTCTGCAGGCCCATAATGAAAAACCACTGTTCCTATGAAAAGATACAGTTTTAAAGCAGCAGACTGAACAGCCTCGGAATCCACAGCCTGTCCTTGGCCTGCCTGCCGTGGGCACACCCCCTTGCTCTGTCTAGGAGGTTGTAAATGTTTCTGCAGTGTAGAAGTGTGATCAGAAATTTCCCTCCGACATTAGAAGGTATTGCAGGTTTGTCCAATGAGTCAGCCCAAGTCTCTCCCAAAGACAGCAGAGTAAATATGTGCGAGGGAGGAAAGCCTGCAAGGGTGTGAGGGTGGCTTTCTGAGTTTTTTAAACATTATAAAGGAGAGGAATAACTCCCTGTCCAACCATAAGGGAGTGGAGATTAGAGTCTAATATGCATTCCTGTGCAACCCTTTGGCAGGACAGGAAATAGAAAAGTTGCAGGCAATGAAACACTCTTAGGGTTTTGTAGGATGTAGACTTGAAGCCCCCAGCCGGCAGCTGCCCCTGTGACAGAGAGGCGAATGCAACGCAGTGAGGGCAGGACAGTGAGCACTGTGACTCCTGAGGTCGGGGGAGGGAGCAGAAAACCCACAGCCTCTCAGACCAGGTGAGCTCAGTGTGGAGAGCTCGGCACCTGCTGCTGCATCCCAGCATTGCCCAGGGTTGGCTATGAAGCTGGGAACAATTGCACTTCAAATATTAGCGACCAGGTGAAATTTAAACCTCACGTAAGCCAGCACACACACACATGCACACACACACATACACAAACACACACATGCACACACACAGACACACACAGAGACGCACACACAGACACACACAGAGAGACACAGACACACACACACACAGAGCCTGACCTTTGATCTCAGGAGTCCAAAGCCAGGGTGGTGCTGGAGTCATCCTTCAGCACCCTGGCCCTCTCAGTCTTCTACCCGGGCACCTTTCCATCCCAGCAAACAGGACAGGCTCTGCCTCCTTCCTAGCTCTCCCATTGGCTGAGTGAGGAACAGGAGGTGTGGGTCTCCCATGTCCATATACAGCTTGCTTCCCAGCCCTCCTCCAACTCCTTTGCTTCTTTGACATTTTGCAAAGACATGGCCATTCCTATGCTCACCCTTCCTCCAAGTTGCCTGCCCTTGACTCGGAAAGCCCAGTCCCCAAATTGAGCCACAAAAACTCTGTGACCCAGCTGTGCAGGTCCTCACTCTCCCTTCTGTTAAGGTACAGGCAGAAGGGAGCAGTCAGACACAAGCTGGGTCCAAATCCAGATTCTCCTCCTTCTCTGACAGGGATCCCCCAACTTACAGAGAAATCTCTGGCTGTCTTTGGCTACAACTTATCTGTCATGAGCCCTGTGGGTCCAGGCCTCAGCTCTTTGGCTGAACAGAGAGCAGATGCATCCCAGAAAGTTATGCCCTGAAACTGGAACAGAAAGTGAAAGTCACAGTTTCTAAGAAACTCAGAACCTTCCTCTCCTCCTGCTGAGAGGAGCAATCCCCATTCTTATTCCTAACCCATCTCCACTCATGATCTTCAAGAATAACCTGCCTCCAGCCATGTGTGACCCTCCACAGGTTATTCTAGGCATTGCTGGGGTTTGAAAGTGAAGCCCTCCTGAGGCAGGCAGTGGAGAAAGGAAAGCCTCTCGGGGAGGAGGAGGCTCTGAAGGGCAGAGTGTGAAAGAGGAGTGAGCTCTGAGAACCACAGAAAGCAAAACTGACCTGTGCAAGATGCACAAGAAAACCCTGAATGTCGGTCATTTCCCTGGGAACAGCACAGGAGCCCTGGACTCTGCTGGGAGATGATGGAGGGGCTCAGCACACCACCCTCTCACCCTCACACTCTATTATTCTACCATCTGCTGGGGAGGGACCTGCATTGAGTGGCCAGGCCACACCGGGGGACATTTTAAAGTTGGAAAGGAATTGCTGATCATCCTCTTAAACTTGAAAGTTGTGCACCCCCAGAGCCCATGACAGGGGGGATGCACAGGCGGGCAGGAAAGGACATTCTGCTCATTTGAATATGCTCACACTGTTCTTTTAAAGGTCTCTCCTTGTGAGGACTGTGTGTCCTATCTGTGGGCCTCCAGAGGAGCGGCCAGAGCAGTCAGGAGGGCCCTCCATCCTCTTCCCTTGAACGCACCTAGCAGCACCATTGAGCAGGAGGGGGTGAGGTGGTGGTGGCTGGGCCTGGGATCTGCCCTGGGTGTTGAGAGCTAAATGGGACTTGAACCCATGCAAGGATGATGGAGACTCTCTGCCATGAAGAGGAAGTTTATTTGGCACTGGGGAGGGGTCATGTTGCGGACAGAAAGTGACCCCAAAGGTGGGGATTCATGGGCTTGTAGGCCTGAAAACCACAGGAGAAGGGTGTGTATGTGTGTGTGTGGATGGGCATGCAGCCCAGAATAGCCATCAAGCGCGGCACAACAGGTACATTTCGGGGTGGAGTGTGGAAACCTCAGGGGGCACTGTAGGTCTCAGGAAAGTACTCAGGTGTCTTTGTGGTCAGCACTGCCAACTGTCTTTATGGCTGGTTTTTGCTTTTCTGCCTCTGTGAAAGCTTGTGAGGGTAGTTAAGCTGCATCTTCTAACACAGGCTGCACCTTTAACCTCCTCCGCTCACCAAGATGCTCAGTGCCCTGTCAGGTGTCACCAAGGAAGGGAATGTTGGAGCACTGTGCTTAAAGAAACACAGCCAGCATTCAGGTTTTTCTGGTGTGTCTTACGCGGGTCAGTAAGCAGTGCGGCTGGATTGCTGAGAGAGTTTATCCCTGTCCCAGCTAGAAGGTGCTGCAAGCAGAGCTGAACCCCAGAGGCCAACCTTATCCTCTTTCATGGCCTTTTTCATTCTGGGAAAATGTCCATAGAGACTTTGGCTGCATTCAGCCCAAGTTTTTGAGGGAGGCACAGCAGATAACTGCATAAGAACTACTCTTTACAGTTGGCAATGCGTTCAATTACCCTTTTTATTAATGTTGTAGGATTATTCCCTACATATAAATATTTCCCTATTTTAAATGCACATAGAGTAACCAGCCCTTATTCTGGGGCAAGTGATCTCTTCTGCAGATGAGGAAGCTGAGATGAGGGGAGAGGCTGTGAGTTTCCACCACAGCCACGAGTCAGATGGGGTTCCATCCTGGGACACCTCATTGCAGAACTCAGGTCTGCAAGTCCACTCATTGGAAAAAGCAGCATCTGAGAGATGAGCTCTGGGGAGAAAGGAGGGCTCAGAGGTGGGAACTTTGCTCCCAAATGAACTTCTCACCAGAGGAATGGGTCAGGAAGTCACAGATGTAGGGCAAGATGAATGTGGAAGAGGCAGGCTCATAAGAGGAGCAGGAGCCTTCAAGTTCTTTCTGGGACTAGGGCTCTTCCAGGAACACAGGGGACATCTCATTTCACTCCTTTTGTGGTCTGGTGGCTCCTGTCAGCTTGCCCTGGTCTTTAGTTCTAGGAGAGTCTCAGTCCAGTTAGGCATGGAATCTCGTTCTGCCCAAAACTTGGTTCCAAATGATGCCCATGTTTACTCCTAGAGCTAAGCAGCATTTGGCATCTATGTAATGTGCCAGTGAGGGTTTAAAACATTTTTTAAACTGTACACTACTGAATAAAAATCTGTCTTGTGACCAGGGTTCCTCCTGCTAATGATGAAGGCCCTGAAACGGGCAATGCAGTGAGTTCTTCAGGGTGTGGAGATGGGGCAGTGGGACCTTCAGGTGTCAGCAATTGATCTCCCAGGCTGATGAGGACCTAGAAATGGACTTGTTCTCAAGGCACCTGAGTGATGGAGAAGCAAACAAGGCTTAAGGAAAAATACTTGTGATTTGGTTTGAATTGTATACCTCTTTTTACCTGAGATCACTGCCCACCTGTGGGTGCCCACACCTGGGTAAACAGGTGAGTATCAGCCTTTGGGCAGGGGAGTTGCCCTCACATAGCTTGTGGATGGGGGAAGAGGAAGGAGAAGTTGTCACCTGGAACTTATAGTGTCCAGATTGGGAAAAGACCCACGCTCCTGCAGATGAGGAACCTGAGATGAGGTAAGGATGACAGAATGAACACCATCATATGAGCTCACGTTTAAACAGTAACAGTTTCTGACTCGGTCATCCATTTCTACAAATAAAATGTAATCTCGGATACAGGCAAAGCTGCATACCCAAGGAAAAATGTTCATTGTGCTATTACTTACATAAAGAATACGAGGTCCAGCCATGATGCCTTTCACTTTGGTGCCCAGTGGGGCTGCAGGTGCCAGGGTCTGATGGAAATGACCGGCTGGAAGAGCAGCGGTCCAGTGGGCAAGCAAGAATGGAGCACCTGCTCCCTGAGACCCTTGGAGAAGGTCGTGAGGAAGGGAATTCAGGCACCTGGAGCCCGGGGGAGGCAATCAGGCAGCATAACAGGGCTCAGTGTGTCACTGTGGGGATCCAGCCTGATCTGACTGCAGCACCTTGAGATGGACTGGCATGATTCTTCCTGAGTAACCATGGCCTTCTTTTTCCTGTGCTGTTTTCCACATGCCATAGATAATCACAACCAATGGAGTGACATGAGATATCAAGAATGTGCCCGATGTATTTGTGTTATTGTGAGATAAACCATGTGCATTCCAGCTTAGGGGAATTGTTCCTACTCACTGTCTAAACCCTTCCCGCTGTTGCAGGAAGTTGCAGGGCCCATTCACTTTGCAGCTGCCCTTTACCAGGCTCCCACGCAAAAGTCCCCAATACATATTATACTCTGTGTGTATTCCTGAATCTCTTGGCCTTTTTTCTTTGGTCATATAGCAGCTTTTGCTTATACTCTGCTTTTTTTTGCACCCATTTTCCAGAAGAACTAGTGAATATTTATTACACCAAAGTTTATACAGCATAACACGGGAAGAGCCAGACGTACCTGAGGTACTGTCTTGTCCAGATGACCAGCCAGGGGTGGAGGACCCATGACCCTTGACCACAAGGGACTGACACTTACACAGTGCGGGGCCCTTAACTTTTTCCTTCAGTTGGGTTTTGCCCCCACCAGCACGTCAACCTTTTTTCTTCCCACACAGCACTTGGAGATTCATTGGAATTTCATTGACCCCCTTGACATGTTGGTCCACAAAAGAGATGGCAACTTGCCTAGGGCTCCACTTCTGTCATCAGCAGCACAACCATCCCTGCTACTGCCACTATGCCCTCTGTCACTTCCATCACTCTCTGACCGTGATAAGGGTGAGTGGACAATGGAAGGACCGGATTGGAGAACATGAGGGATGGGCTTTATCATTGTTGAGACCTCAAATTAGGGGTGAGCTCTGTAATGTAGCCACTGTTTCTTCTCTCATATGTAATGGGTTGAACACTGGTTTCCTCCCATTTCAACTCTGGTTTTTCTGACCATTCCCGTGGTATATTCCTGTACTTGCCTCTGCATAGCTCCCTCTGTATTCTTTAGTCAAAAAGAAACTATGTCCTCCCTTTCCCTACACTCACAAGTCCCATCTTGCCAGTGGATGTGGCTCCTGCCATCTCTTTGACCTACTTGCTTTTTCTTGTCTTCCTCCTTTGCTGTGTTCAGTCATGAAAATGCTGAACTCCACTCCAGTGCATGCCCCCGTCCTCACCCTTTCTCTCCTCTAACAAACACCTCAATCTGTCCACGTCTTTGTGTTACACATCTTCCCTGAGCTGCGTCGTGCTGTGAAGAGGGAGTCACTGATCTGAGCCTGACTTCAAATGCTCATGGGCCTGGTTGAGGTGCTCCAATATGGTCTCCAGCTCCTGAGCTTGCTCGAGCAGTACATCACCCAACACTGACTTTGCCCCTTCTTGCAAGTGTGCAGAATTCTGTACAAGGTTGTACAATTCTAACCCCAAGAAGACAGCTCCAGTGGCTGTACAAAATATCTTGGTTTCTCTGCTTATTGCCATAGCAGTGTGTCCAAAGGTTGACTGCACCACCCCAATACCACCTTGGACCATAACACTCTCCATCTTTATGGCCACTTTGACTTTGTGGATCAACTCAAGGTCATTGCTGGCCAGCTTGATAGCATTGATGTTCTTCCCAATGCCTCCAAGGAATTGGTTCCAATTTTCAGTTTGAGAAAAAACTTTGGGTGGGAAGCGACCCACAGACTCTGTAAACCTTGTTAGTTTTTCCACAATGGATGACATCAAATCTCTGGCTTCCTCTTGATCTGGTAATGTGTGTGAATGATCTACTGGGCTAGGGGACAAATCAGGTTTACGGCTTGTAGCTCTTGACTTTTCACTTTGTTCTGAGGATGCTGGAGGGCCCCTGGCTGTGAAGGATGAAAGAACCAAGTCAAAGAAGTTCAAGATGTCAGAGACAGTGGCATCATGGATGCCCAGCACATTCGTGAAAATGTAGTTCCAGTGAACCTTGTTAGCCTGGCCTGCAAGGGCACGGAGCTTTCTTATGTCCTCCGTGAGCTGTGTTTTCAGCTCAGGAAACAAGGCCAAGAGCCTCTCTCTAGCCTGCTGGCTTTCTTGCTGCCTCTCTTGGTCCAGCTTGGCCATGTCATCTGTAAGTCCCTTCAGAGCTTCCCGTAGCACATCAGCCTCATCCCTGTAACAGTGAAGATCAAAGGATTACAAAAGCTAGCATCTTTATCTGTAAAATGGTTCTAAGTTTGTATACCTGTCCAAACACAGAGCTTTTTAACTACAAATACAATGGAAAAGAATTGTGCACGAGTACAGAATTTTTCTTTCAATGGTGGACATGTTTTGTATGCATGAAGGGCTCTGTGTCTTTATTCAATAAGGGGCAATGAGGAAAAGCCATGAGAAGATGCTTCAGAGTGGAAGGCACTGAGGAAGATGCCTCCTCACTCGGGTTCGTGCTGTGACTACCAAGGTATTTGCAGAGCAGTGTTCTGAAGGTGAACAAGAGGAGCAGGACCAGTGAGACCTAAACTGAAGGTGCATTAGTGTAGAGAGAAGGATTAATCTTACCCAAAGCATGTCCTGTTTGCCCTCAGCTCCTGAGAATTGACCTATCACTACGATTTGATCTGTATGCCTCTGACAAGTCTTCTTTTTTAGGAATATCTTGGTTTGCCTAGAGACTTTGGCTACAATACCATACCAACTCAGCAACCCATCATCCAAAAATCCTAAATAAAGTGAAAACCCTTTGATCTTTGATAAGATGTCCCAAGAGAAAAGTTTCACACCTGGCCTTATGAGATGGGTCACAGTGAAAAAGAGGGCGTGTAAAAAACACTCTGGAATGTTACTTTCACAAAATGTGCATAGGACATAAAGAAACATGCATAATTTCTGTTTGAACTTGGGTGTCACTCCCTTGATCTTATGTTGCATATCTATAAATATCTGAAAATGAGGAAAAACATTCACAACACAAAAAGTTGGTGGTCCTAAATATATCTCATGAAGGATGCTCAAAATTAACAAAGCTATGTGAGATGGTGCTTTGGGATAATTTCTCACATCTAGGTTAATGGGACAGTGAAGGCACAGACCTCTGGCTTGAGAGGGAGACTCCAGATCAGCTGTGAGTGCAGCCCCCAGAGAACTCTCAGATACTGAAGTTTCAGCTGAAAATAACTCTCTCCTTAATGTAGTTAAGCTGTTCTGAATATTTTCTCAACTGGCCATAGACCTTGGCCTCCCATATTCATCTTGTCTCTCCTGGCCCTGCATTGCTTGGAATTAGTCAGGATAGTGAAAATCCACCACGCCGATATCTGACTATGTGTCCGCCATGATCTCTAATGTATTTGTTCTTGATATGCTTCAGGAAGGGTCCTGTTAAGGCACCAGAGTCCTGATGTTCCTGTCAATAATGTGCTCTCTACTGGCACTCTGTGTGTTATCTCTCAATCCCCAGCTCTCTCTGCTGTGTGCAGAGCTGTCCCCTGCCCTGCTCCCCGGACAATAGTTCTGAATGAATCTGCTTCACTGCTTTGCCTCATCTCAGAATAATGACTCTTTCACAGCATGTGCCCTTCTCCCACACTGGGCAATTCCTGGTGTAAACTGTCACACATAACCAATGCAGTGAGAAGAGTGGATGCTTTGAGAGGGGTGGATGCCTTTTACTTGCATCCCTTCAAAACTTAGCCCCGTGCATTGCTCCCTTTGGCTGATTTGAAGCCGTGTTCTTTCCTCATAATAAACCATAACTCTGTAATAAGCAACTTCTGCTTAAATACTAAGCTCTGCATCCTCTTAAGTAACTAGAAAACTTGAATTTGCTTTTGCGAATTCCTGAAGTTTGCAGATAGTGTTGGGTGTTGGGGGGCATACATGCAATCTGAGCACTCTGTGAGGCTGAGGAAGGACAATCACAAGTTCAAGTCCAGCCTTGGAAGTTAGTGAGACTCTGCCTCAAACATAAAAAATAGAAAAGGCTGGCATATTGCTCAGTGCAAAAGCCTTAGGTTCGATCTCAGTAGAACAAGTGATTAGAAAAACAAAAGGGTAGTCTTTGACCTGCATCTTGGTCTTTGCTTTGTTTGACACTGGGCACTTAGAATGTAAATAATAAATTCTCAGAGCCAGAAAGAAGCTGTTGTGTATTCTCCCCCAAAGCCTAATGCTCTTTGCCTTTCCAGGTGGAAGGTCAGTGATGCCCTGGTTACTGGGAAACAGCAGACCTGGCTGTTAGACCTGGCTCCATGCTGACCACCTTACCTTGCCACCTCCTGATTTTAGTCTCCTTTGTCAGGAGACACCTTAGTTGGAGACAACTTCACTTGTGTGCAGCCAAGGCAAGTGGCGCAAAGCCTCATGGGACACTGAGACTCATCTATGTAATTGCTAAGCCTGCAATGACATCAGCTGGAATAGGACATGAGTGGACATATTTTCCTCTGCAGTGGGGATTTTAAATGTTCTCAGACTCTCTCAAATTACACAGAGTAGACAGCCTACTGTCATGACTTTGGATTCTAGCACTAAGGTACACTGTCTGCCTATTGGTCACTGGCTATGTTGAAGACTCTTCAACACAGAGGATGGCTAAGAACTGCCCAGATCCCAGTAGGATATGGAACAAGTAGCCAACCATAGCCCTCAGTGACTGTCGGGGATGGATGACACAGGGAGAAAAATGTTCCCTCCCACTGACATGTCCTCTGCTTGTCCACGTCCTTCCTTTGCTTTGCACCTTTGGATTTTCCTTTGCTTTATTCTGGTATCAGGCATGTGACCCCAACTTTCCTCTTCCCTTTGGATATGTGATAATTCATGTCACTAAGGTATAAGCCTGGAGCCCTAGAGCCCAGGAACAGCCAGGGTCTCATCCAGCTTTGTGCAATCTCACCTCAGTCTCTCTGCCTCCTGCACCACAGAAAGATTCTGCTGGGTTTGTACAATTTCTCAGATGGGGAAAAAATGGCCCAAGGAAGAATTCTCAGAACATAAGTTGGTCATATCTAGTTATTTCTGACTCCTTCCAAAGCAAGACTTCCTGGCTCCTTCTCCAAGGAGCAGGTCCGTGGCTCTTCTCTCTTACTACCTGGTCTTTCAAAACCTAACTTCCTTTGAGTGCCCACCACACGTCATCCATATGCTGTACATCTTACTTGCATTATCTGATTTTTCTCACAATCAAACTGCATGAAGAAACTAAGGCAGAAAGTGGTAAAGTTACTTGCAAAGTTCATATAACTAGTGGATGGCAGAAATGACCCTGTCCCCTGTGGTCACCATGTCCCTTTGACCTAAGATCATTCACTGCCAGCGAGTGACATGGATAAAATATCCCCTAAGGATTGTTGGGGAAAAGCACTCTCTACTTCAACCACAGAAAATTGCCTGGAGAAGGATCGTCTGTACTGAGAAAGGAGCCCAGCAGGAGCTGGGTGGCACTGTTGGGGCGTCCTAGGGAGGTGACCTGGTCAATCCTGCCTCTGCCAAGACCGTCTCCCAGGCTTCGTCTTCAGTTACCAGTAGCTGAAGATCTTCTCTGCTCACTATGTCCTGGAGACACTCGATGACATCCTCCAAAAAGCTGTTGTTTTCTAGTTGGGGGGGAAAAAGGAAAAAACAGAACACAGTGATACTGGCTGGTGTGGTTAAATGCTCCCCTTCCTGAGCAGCTGTCACATGGAAACTTTCGATGGAGACTCCAGTGTGATGGACTTTATATGGATATAAAGTGCATCCTTTATATCTATATGCTAAAGCCCTAAGTCCAGCCACTGTGCTGGAAATAGGGCCAATAAATAAAGCCAAATGAGATCTTTTGTTCGAGCCACTAACCTGTGATGTTCTGTGGTAGCTCCAGATAGCTAATTCACCAAGAATTGCTGGGGAGAGTTTTGCTCTTATTTTTGTGGTGATGGGAATACTAGGCTATTCTGCATACTGTGGTAGTGCTCTACCTCTGAGCTACATTCTCGGTCCTTTTTATTTTATTTTGAGATAACAGTCTTGCTACATGGCCTAGATTGGCTTTGTAGTTGAGATTCTCTTTCTTGAGTAGCTGAGTTTACAGGTGCGTATCATTGTGGCTGTCAGTACCATGGTATTTTTGTGTTTAAAATCATTTTGTTCTTTCTCTCTCTCTTTTTTTTTTGGTTGGGTTTTCTTTGCCACACAGAGCTTTGAGATAGTGAAAGTGCCAGCCTTGGCTTTCCTCTCCCAACTGCTTATGGTGAATCAAATGTTGTATCCCAGCATCTTCTAAATGTGACTTTCAACCACCTGTGGGTTCTGAAATTAGTTTTGGTCGAGATCAATGCTTTAAAAAGGAGATATAGATGGACTACAGGGGGAAGAGAACAAAAAATCACCAAGAAGCAAATCCTCCCTGAGAGTCAGAACCCTGTGTGGGCCATTGGGGGACAGCCAGAACCCAACTCCTTCTGGCTAGTGCATTGGGAAACAAGAGGAGCCTGTTCTCCATCCTCCCATCCCCCGTAAGTGACTGGTGGATGTGGAGAACCACAGGCTGTGATGATAGGTATTCAGGTGAAATGCAGTTTGATTCTTGTGGTGTTTGGTGTTTCACTGGCCTTGCAGGTCTAAGGCTGGTGGTCTCATCATCTGTTCAGAGGGCAGCAGTTTGCAATGTGGAATCTAGCAGGGGGGGATCCCCTTTTGAACGTGGTAGCTATTATTAATTTCCTACTGTCTTGTTTTGAAGTCTTGTATCATTTTCATTGTTTTGTTGGGTGTTACTCGTTTTGTTTTGTTTGATTTTGTTATATCCAATGGCATGGGCAGTTATTTCAAAGATAGCAAGACATATTATGGCAGCCATTTCGGATTTACTTAAAGTCCTTTACTGCATTCATTGTGTTGTTTTTATTGGTTCTATTCTATTCTGTTTTGATTTTACTATGTCCGAAGGTATGTACAACTATTCCAAAGACAACAAGAAGCATTATGGTAACCATCATTGTTCTTGTATTGTTTTGAAGTCCTGTGTCCCTTACACTGTTTTGTTTTGATTGACTTTATTCTAGTTTGTTTTGCTTGGTTTTATTCTCCTTAAAATAAAAAAAGAAACATAACTGACAATATCAGAGTGAATTGGACATAGAATGTCTGTGTATTGTTCTGTGAATTATTTTAAATACATACCTAGGGTGGTCAATATATACAAGTGAATTTTTAAATTTGTGAAAATTATTATGATAGAAACACTAACCTCTCTGAGAATACTCCCTCTCACATCACACATACTTCCCATTATTCTTGACACTTTCTGAAGCAGTGCTGGAAGCTCTTCTTTGTTAGTGTATTCATGTGTGTGAATAAACCATGGTGACTGCGGCTGCTGAGTGTCACCCAGGGGAAAGGCAGGCTTGCAAAAGGACCATCATGGTCGTCATTACCTTGTTCCCCAGCTCTGCTGCCATGCTATTCCTGCTTATTCTGCAAAGTCAAAGTGACTGGGGAGAGATATCAAGGAATACAGGACAGCACAGCTGAAGTCAGTCACATAGGACGACTCCCAGACCTGCTGCGGGAAAGTAACAGGATCGATGGGTGATGGGGTAGTGTGCTGGAAGCAACAGGAGCATTTCAAAAATGATGAATTGCATCGTGTGTTTTTACTATAATAAATTTTTTGTAAATTTTTGAATTCACTGTATTTTTGTCATATTTCCCTTATTTGATATATGTACCCCATAGTTATGCAGAAATTCTGGCACCTACTTGTCTAGGAATTCAAAAATCTAATCTTTTAGAATATTAAAATATTTTTCAATTTTAAATGGGCACATAAATAATTTCATATATTTATGGGAATACAGTGTGTATTTCTTTCTTTTTTTGTGGTATTGGGGATCAAACTTGCAACCTTGCATTGGTCAAACAGGTGCTTATGCCACTGAGCTAAATCCCCAGCCTAGTGTTGTATTTCAAGAAAATCGGCATCTCATCACTATAAGCAGTGTACATTTTCTTTGCGTTGAGACAGCATAAAGTCTTCTCTAGTAGTTATTTTAGAATGTACAATTAAATAATATTTTTAATCTCTCATAGAAGGAAAATAGAGAGTATTACTGGCCAATGCTAATAGTCAATCCATTATTGAGTTCACAGAGAAACAAATAGGTATTCATGTTAAAAGAGACAAAGAGAGTCCAGGGTAAATGGTCTTTGGGCGGTAAAGAAGGGAGGGTTATTGTCCTAATGATTACCTAATGATCCTAATGATTACCAAGAAAGTGTGAAGTTTGCAGGGATCTGGCATCTATGGACTTGCCTACCTTTATGTGTGTATTAGAACATGATATAAAACATACTTCCCACTATGTACAAACAAGAGAGCCATCATTTTTTTTCAAAGCAGAGAGACTCATGCAGGAAAAATGACTGCTCAAAGCCAGCAAGCAGGATGCTCAGGATTTGAATCCAAGACTATTTTGAAAACATTCTTTTGGACATTACAATTAAGTCCCATGTTTAAAAACTCCCTACCTTGATGTAGTGGCACCCACCTGTAGTCCCCAGCAGCAGGGGAATGAGGCAGGAGGATTGCTTGAGCCTAGGAGTTTGAGACCAGCTTTGCCAACATTAACTTGACTCAAGCTCAGTAGTTTTCCCATAAAACCCCCAAACTAGGAGTGATTTCTGCATGCTAGGCTGTAATATACCTGAGGTATTTTTCTTAATTTAGAATCAAAGGTTTAAATTCCATATTACAGAGAGAAGCTATCATGCAAGAGGACACTGATGATAGTCACAGAGGCTCCAAGGCTGGCCATGGAGAGGATCCTCCAGTTGAGTGGTGATGGGGCAGCTGGACCCTTTGCATGGATCTCATTGATCATTATGAGTCTCAGAGGCCTGGCTTCCCGCTGACACCCATCACCCCAGGCTAGGACATTTACTAAACAAAGGAAAGTTTATCACAAGGAATACAAGAACCTCAGCCCCATTTCCAGATCCCAGGCTCACTGGAAGGTCCTGGCTTCCCGTCTTGCTAACACCCTACATCTTCACCCTGACAACTGAAGGCACAGTTTGCTGTCCAAGGCTGGTGAGGAGTTGAGCGATGGACTTGGTCCCAAGGCACCTGAGCACAGGTGAAGGAAACAGGACTGACAAGGGATGGTGTTGATTTGTCATTGCTATAGCTCTATAGCTTCCGATTTTTCTTTTCTTGAGACATTTGGAGTCCTTTCCTACCTGCATCAGGCACACCTGGTAGGCACGTGCCCATCACAGGCAAGCAGGGCAAGTGCCCATGCATAGCTTCAGAACTGCGGGGAAGAGGAGGGTCTTACTGGGTACAGAGAGAGGGAACCCCCCCCCCCCCGCCAACTCGCAGATGATCTGCTAGGTGACAGCCACTGGCCTAGCCATGTCTGTGTACTACAATGGATCCTCACAAAACCATGGGAGACATTGCTCTGGTGTGACAGGTGAAGTAAGGGCTGCAGGTCACACATACGGGAGGTGGTAACTGTCATACTGGGGTCCAGTGCAGTGGACTCTGCTGGCTCACTTCTCCTGTTGAGTCACTCAGAGAACTTAGGTCCCCACAGGGCAGGAACTGGAGGGAGCAGTCTCTTCCCCAGCAGTGCCCCAGGGTGAGTTAGGAATAGACAGTGTGTGGCAGGCAAGAGGAATCTTCAGGTCCCTGTCACATCTTCTGTTGGTCCTTTTGCTTCTCCTGCCCTTTTCTTCTCTTTCTCTTCCCCTCCTCCCTTCCCCTTTCAATGCTGTCTTTGTTAGAAGACTCCGCCCCTGAGGAAAGGGTCCAGAAGGGGAGGCCCATAAGCCTCAAGAATGGAGACCCACGCATTCCTCTTTGGTCTCCCCTCTCCATGCTTGTCTCCTTTACAAACTACCTTGCTTTCAGAGGAACCACATTAGCACTAGTTCATGAGCAAGAACCAGCCAGAGAGGAATAGCAAATACCTGTAAAAGGTGCCCAGGCCATGGTGATGGCGATATTCTCTCTGAGAGGTTTTCCTGACAGCTCACCAGGGTGTCCAGGCTGAGGAGAGAAGGAAAGAAATTATGTAGTAGAATAGAGATAGTTGGCTAGCAGTGGTCAGCCGCTAAGGGCCAGATCTGCGATGTATCTCTCTGGGGTGCAGAGTGACCTGGTGGACTTCATGGAGCAAAGTCTCTGTCCACCAGGCCCTGTGGCTGTTATTTAAAGGAAGGCTCCTCTGCCCTCACCTCCACCAACGCAGAGTCCTAGTGTCTTGTGAGGGAACAGGGATATTTGAGTATGAGGGTACAACCATATAAAAACAACAGAATAAACATGCAGAGGAACAGATGGGAAGGAATGTTCTGGCAAGTACCTGGGGCTGGGAACATTTGTGTTTTTTCAGGGTCTGTGATGTGTGGGCTCCATGATGATGCACTCCCTGGGGCTAGAATCTGTGGGTCCCATTCTAAAAGACAAGCAAGCACCCTCAAGCACACACACACACGCACACACGCACACACACACACACACACACACACACACACACCCCACATATTAGCTTACACTCTGAGGAAAGACAAAAATGAAGTAACGGCTTCTCCTTGCAGCAGGTGTGAGCACAGCCCTTCATACTATCTGATCTTCCCTCATCAGATGCATTTGGTACTTTGATTTTTTTAATTTTAAGGAAACGTCATTTTTTAGTAGTTAGGGACTGGAACCACAGTAAAGCATGTTCTTTGGGCACCAGCACTTTGAATATGGTAGGAAGAGTTTGAACAAATGCTGGGTAAGAATTAGTCTGATTGCCATGTGTGTGTTTAGGAGAAACACTGGTGGTTGCTAAAGCCGAGACCTCTAAGAATAAAGCAGGGATAGTGGCTGTTATGGCTGTCACCTATGTATGCTCTCTGTGCTTACAGATGGGGCTTTTCACAGGTGGCTGGATCCAGGGTGGGTGAGACCGAGAGCACGGGTGAGTGGTGCTGGATTAGTTCACTGGTTGGTTTATCACAGTTCTGGGTGTGGGGAATGGGAGTGTTGTGGCACCAACCAAAATGCCTGTAGCCTGGATAGGAAATGTGGAAAGGGAGCCTTGCTGCTTTACTGCGTTCTGCCTCCTCTGTGATTGCCCTCTGATTTTGGACTCAGCTGACTGAAACTTCTACAAACTGTGAACTGAAATAAACCCTTCCTCCTTTAACTTGTGAGCATCAAGAATTATGTTTCAGCAATGAGAAAAGTAACTATGACAGTGGCATATCCTGTTAAGCTAGAAAAGTTAGAGTGAGCTCTTACATTGAAAAGATCTATTTTCTAGAAGCTCATTGTTCCTCATAGAAAGACAGATGTATTCTCCACCTAGAGGAGCCAGGACTACTCAGCTAGTGATACTTCTCCAGAATGTAAGTTTGCTTTATAAAATGTGTGGAGCTATGCTCAGAGAGACAGATGTGGCTCCTAACAGCTTCAGTAGTATGAAAGTAATTGATAAGAATCAGTGTGATCGACTTCCTCAGGGTGGGAGAGAACTATTTGGACTGTTGATCCTTAGAATGTGGCTATATTTGCTTTGAACTTTTGTCTTGAGATATGGCCCACAGCAAGACATGATTGCCACTTCCAAGGCTGCAAGGTATAATGGTGCACTCTGGAGGCCGAGGCAGGAGCATCACTAAGTTCAAGACTAGGTTACAAAGTGAGCTTAAGGCCAGCCAGATCTTCACTGTCTCCAAAAGACAAAAACGCTTCTCTTCATTCACTTTCTCCTGGTGAAGAGGTTTTGTCAGCACTTTTCACATTTTTTAAAAAAATTAAGTTTATGACTTCCGGAAGAACATGGCAGATAGATAGCAGCAGCTACAGAGGCTCTCTGAGATACCCCACTTAAAATCCAGGAATGGTGCAGTATGAGGAGTCCTAAGCAAGGGGAGATACAGCTTGCCCACCCAGGGATGAACTAAGCTAAGACAAACCAACTGGAAATCCGATCCTGATGCTATAACAGGAACAGATAAAATCTCAGTGCTGGAAGCTAGAACCCTCACCACTGGAAGCTGCGATTTCAATTTCCTGCTGCCACTGCTGCATCCAAATCTGCAGGGCAGGAAGACAGATGCGCGGAAGGTCTGAGAGCAGGAATCTGTGAACGGAGTTGAGAGCAGGACTAGCAGGGAGCCCTATATCGACTTGTGGTGAGTAAGCAGACAGGGACCCTTTCATAGAGTAGGAGGCTCCAGCAAAGGACATACTGGGACCAGGAAGACTTCCCGGAACAGGATGCTGCAGTGACATTAGTTGCATATTCCCCGCTCAAGCAGAATTGGTGGGGAGTGCCTGGCCTGTGTGAAGCTGCTGGCTAAGACCCAGTAGGCTAGCCCAAACCAGGTCCCAGCACCTGGAGGTGCACCCTAGTGGTGAAGCCTTCAGTAGGTTGACCTGGAGGGGCAGGCCCAGCAGAGGCTGCCCAGGTCTGTGTCTCCCTAGTACACTGCAGTGGGCGGGAACACCTAGCCGGTGCAATTCAAAAAAACTATAACTGAAAAAGAGAAAAAAATTGGGCCTCCTACATTCAATTGTATGGAAGGAACAAAAAGTATGGGAAGAGGAAGGAACAAAACAGGGTCCTCAGTCCCCAATCCTGAGAACACTGATCCAGGAAAGGGAAATGCAAAAGAAGACAGAAAACATGCAATATCAGACATGGAACCAATAGACATAAAGCGATATCTCCAGAGCCTCATAGACAAGTTTAAAAGTGAAGTGTTTAATAAAATAAAGCAAGATATCAGTAGAATAGTTAGAAAATGCTAAGCACTGCCCAAGAAAAAACACATGGTGGAATGGAAGAACAGAAAAAAAGGGGAGAATTGTTTGATGGAGAAAATAGAGAAAACATAGAATACATGAAGCAGGTTCAAAGAGATTACCAGGAAACTAAAAACTCTATTGAAAGCTGGCATAACAGCTTGAAAGAAACTAAGGTTAGATTATCTGAATTGGAGGGCAGATTTCTAATATGGGAGCATGAAATGAAAAACTTCTTAAAAATAACAAGAAAACAAACAGCAATAATACAAAGGCTTGAAGATGATGAGAGGATCTATAACTTAAGAATTAAGAACATAAAAAGAAGAAATAGGGACACAAACAAATGGACTACAAAAGCTATTCACAGAAATAATCCAAGAGAATTTCCCTAATTTAGCAAATGGTAAAGATACTCAGATGTATGAGGCATACAGGACCCTAGCCACCTATAACCCAAACAGAGCTACACCCAGGCATATAATAATCAAAATTCCAGAAATCCAATATAAGAACAGAATACTAAAAGCCATCAGAGACAAGAAACAGATCACTTACAAGGGAACACCCATCAGAATTACAGCAGATTTCTCGGCACAAACCATCAAATCAAGAAAAGTGTGTGTGTGTGTGGGGGGAATAATTCAAGCTTTGAAAGATAACAACCAGCCAAGATTGATATATCCTGCACTACTGTTCCTAGAAATTGATGGAAAAACAAGGTGCTTCCAGGATAAAGAGGAACTAGGGGAATATGCAACCACCAATTCAACTCTACGGAGAATACTGCAGGATATTCTAAAAAAGGAAAATACCAAGATTCCAGAAACAGTGGCAGAGAGGCCACAATGAATGGAGCAGAGAGCGAAACAAAGAAGACAAACTGACAACAAACAACAGAGAAAGAGCTCAACAGAAATGAGGCAGAGAAGATTGGATGGTAGGAACAGCCATTTTGGAGAAAACAAGACATCATAATAGCTAGTGCTGATTTAGTATCATCTTGCTTTGAAGTCCCATCAAGCTTTTATTCTTCTGTCTCCATCGGTCTTAACAGGTTGTATATTATTGGATTTTATTATATATGATAATATAAGCAAAAACTTTTATAGACAAGGAGATTATACAAAAACCATTGTTCATTTTCTGATAGTTGGTTCTAAATACCCTGTACTACTGTCATTCTCTTGAATGGTTTTACATTGTCTTGATATGTTTGGTGCTACAGTATATGAAGTTATACTCAAAAGATTTCAAGGAAAGAGACACTATGGTAACTATTTTTTATGTCAGCATATCTTGTGGTGAAACACTATTTTGCTTAAATGGTTCTGTTTTGACCTGCGCTGTTTTGTTGTTATGCCCTCTTTTATCTCAGTCTCCTTTTTTAAAATTATTTACTTTTTATTTTTATCTTTTTAATTAAGGGAAAAATAAAAAAATAGCTGGATACATTATAGTAACCCACTTTGATTTCCTAGTAACTTGATTTGAAACCCTGTATAGCCCTCACCATCTTGCTTTGACTGATTTTCCTCTATTCTGCTTTGCTTGATAGTACCAAGTTTGAAAGTATAGGCAACAACTGTAAAGACAATAAGATTCATTTTGATGTCCATTCCGGTTGACTATTATCTTCTTTTAAAGCCCTGTAATGTCTCCAATGTTTTGGTTTTATTCTTTACTGTTTTGTTCAATTTTATTGTAACTGATGATAGAGGCGATTCTTTTCAAGATAGCAGGAGGCAGTATGGTAACCATTGTTGATCACCTGGTATTTTGTTTTTACACTCTGTATTATGTCCATCCTTTTGATTTGACTGACTCTGTTCTGTTACATCACATTTGGTTTTACTCTCTTCAAAAAAAAGTAATAAGAACTGTGGCAGTAAAAAAACCCAAAATGTGTAATTGTCATTGTACAAAAGAGAGGAGAAGAAAGTGCTCTAAAGAATATAACTGCATATATTTAAGTGTATAAGATAGATAACCGTATTACTGAGTTTTGTTGGATCATTGAACAAAACTGTTTCCAGTCTTACTGTTTGAAAGTCCACTTTATATGCTTTAATTTTGTAACTTGAACTATTTCTAAGATAACAATATGTAATCTATTAACTAGTGATTTCCTATTGTTTTTCTGAAATTCTGTATAACTTGTACCCTTCTTCTGTTTTTTTCTTTTTCTCCTTAAATAAAAAAAAAAGAAAAAAAAAAGAATCAGTGTGATCATGTTTAATTTGGCCACACTGAGTCTCTGAGACGTGAATTCAATAATGTTCAAAAGAGAATTGTTGAACAGAAACACTACCTATAAAGACTAAAAACGGTAGTTGTAATATGAAGCAGAGTTAGTACAGCAGACAAGGTCAACCAGCAGTCAGTTTTGATAAGAGGGTGAGTCTGTGGGTGTTTCTCCTGTAATAATTTATGTGTCTATCTGTAAGTGCTGGGAAAGAGCAAGGGCAGTCCTAGGCATGTACAAGCTGCCCTGGACTCTCAGCCAGGCCTTCTTACTCTATGATTCGACATCAGTAATCTCAGATGTCAACCTCAGATGATGTTACCCAGAGACCATGACAAAATAACACAGACAAGACAATTTTGTAACTGTGCTTCAGCACAAAAGAAGGTCTCTGGGCCACCCACCAAGTACTAAGCCCCCTCAACTGAGGTGCGAATGTGTGTGTAAATAGCATATGTTAGAACTTAATCCCCAACTTAATTTGTACCTGATGGTATTTGGAGAGGGCCTTAGGGAGGGAATTGGGATTAGAAGAGGTCAGAAGGCAGGGTCCCCATGGTTGGACTCATTCAGAAAAGAGCCCTCAGTGGAATCCTGCTCGCTCTATCCCATCACGTGATACCCGCGGACAGGTTATGATAAAGCCAGTTGGTTTTAAGCAAAAAACTGCAGTAACACTGTGATCTTAGGCTTCCCAGTTCCCAACCCTGTGAACTAAATAAACCATCAATCAAACTGTGCCAGGAAGTTTCTTACAGCCACAGAAACAGAATGAGACACTGTTTTGGCCACATAGAAAGATCATTGCTATCTTATACCAAGCATAGTTCATCCTTATTCTGTCCCTCAAGGTGGCAATGGCTCCTACACTGTCCCTTTCTCTTCCAGGCAACAGTGTCTATGGTTATGCCTGGACAGGTCCATCTCCAGGTGCTCATGTTTGCTCTGTGTTCTTACTTCAATGGCAAATTGGATCTCCTGGCTCAACTGTCTGTCCTCCAGTGCAAAAACCAATGTTCCCCTCCTCTTCTCTCACACTGCCTCCTGTGGTGAGTATGAGACACAGAGGGACCTCTTTGCTGAGGCATCTCACAGGTACCAGATGTTACAGAGGATAAAGTAAACAGACCTCATGCTTTAGCCTGGTCTTTGCTGATGTAAAAACCACTCATTAGGGAATACAGAGTTGGGAAATATGTTGTCAGTTTCCCATTTTTCCTACAGATAGTACCTGTGCTGTGTGAGTTAAGATGAAAACAGTTGCCCAGGCTATTTGCAAAAGACCTGAAGACCCTTTTGTTGAACACAGTGACTTTTTCTGGGTACACAGACATCCAATGGAGCAGGATGAAAACACTTGGCATCTCTGCTTCCATCTTCTGGCTCCTTGGCTGCCTTAGACTTAGGGTCAGATTAAAATAAGTGCTGAATCTGGAAGTGTTCCCCTGGGAAACATTTTGTCTGACTATAATCCAGACTCAGCTTTTACTAGACTTGCTTAGTTTGACTTCTTTCCTTTTAAGGCTGAGGATGCCCAGAAACTGTCTTAACATGAAACCTTAGACCACGATAAGATCAAAGATAAAAAGGGTTGTACCTGAGACCTCTGTATTCCCAAAGATAAAAGGAAAGTTCATCTCCTCATTAGCCTGTCTTTTCCATTGTTATTTCTGTCTTCTATCTATGGCTTTCTGACCCTCACATCATTCAGAAGTTGATTGCTAACAAAGCTCCAACTTCCCATTTACTTGGCCCCGAAAGAAACCTTTGCACCTCCCAATATTCCTCTCACAGGCATTGGTTCTCCTGGGGGATAAGCTTCTTTCAGATGTGTGTTCAGTAACAGTGGCTGTGTGACCCTGATCTAACCCACATGATACAAGGCTAAGACTCTGGGCTGCTTACTGGGGGACTTAGAGTGAGAAGGAACAGGAGTGACAGGACAGCTGGCTGCCCTTTCCACTCTTCTTGCTTCAAATGTGACCTGACCCTGGGGATTTCATGGAGTTTTGAGACCAAGAAATAGAGGTACATTAACCAAATTGGAGCACCAGAAAGATGGGCAGGCAGAAGGAGCAGGATCTTGAGGGACTCCACACATCTGTAAAGAGTCTGTGTTCTGCATCTTATCCTTCTCTGTCACTTTGGACCTTGCTCTGACCCTCATCTGAGCCTCAGTTATTTACTTATGTAGGAAATGCTCACTCCTGCCTGCTTGGTACACAGAGTTTACCTGCAACTTAACTCCCAGAAAGGCTGTTGGTGTGGAGAGATACTGGAGACACTGGAGGAATCCCAGGTGGCACCTGCCCAGCCCTTCCTCTCGACCCTGCATAGAGCACACAAGGGTTTCTCTTTCCCTATCACCTATGCGCTGAGCGTTCCCCAGGAAGCAGGGAGAAGAATGTGCATCAGTTCTCCCTGTCAGTGGTTGCAGGACACTGTTCTTCACCAAGCAAAGAAAGAGTTAGACAGCAGGCTACTCTTGAAGAACTTTCACGTGCTGCCAGGCTCATGTTCAAGTTGCTGGTTCCAGAACCCAAATCTCCCTGCCTGCTGCAGCTCCTCCTGACTCATCTCTTCTTTCACGCCATGCACCTTGATTCCAGGAACCTTCCATGACCCTGATCTTCATCCCCAGGCCCCAATGCCTTTCTGAGTCTGTGCCCTCACCCTGAATGTCTTCCTTTCCAGCTGCACTGTGCTAAGCCCAGCTCACAGCCCACTTCCTCCCTGCTGGCTGCCCTAAGCCCTCCCTGACTTCCTTGGAATGTGGAGAACTCCTTGGCACTTGTACCTGTGTCATCTTCTGTGGGCAGCTCTCTCCCCAGGAGACTGCACTCAGCTCATGCAGGCCCTCATCTGAGCAGCCCCCATAAGTCATGTGGGACCAATGTGCATAGCATCTGCCCTAATGCCCCAGGCCAGCCCAAAATTAGGGTGTGAGAGTCATTCCTGGGACACAGCCTCCTGCAGCCACTGAGAACATTACTCGGGTTCCCTTTTCCTAGCAGCTTTTTTCTCTTCTGCATGGTCCATTCCTTCTGGAAAATGACTGATAACACTACAGCTCAGATTACATATAAATTACCTGGCTATTTTCACAGGTCTATAAAATTTCTGAGAGTTTCTATGTACTTATTTATAGCTCTTTCTTGAAGTTCTACTAGGTTCATAAAAGAAAAAGTGAAAAGCTTGAGACCCAGCTACCTGAAGATGGAAGGGACATGAGCATGGACTTGTAAAGTCCCCTCCCCAGGTGACACCCAGGTCCGGATGTCAGGCTCATGTTCCCAGCTTATCCTCCTCCTGTTTCTTAATAGGGTCAGTGCCTTTGGGTAACAGAGCAGGAGTTCTTTCCTTAATGCCCGGGCTGCTCCTCTGCAGGTACATGATCAGGAAAGACAAATTAATGTACAGAGACATGGTTTAAATCCAGCAATGTGAATAACCACAAAATGACCAGCAGTATCCTTCATGGCCACCTGCAGAACACAGCGCCTTCCTGGTTGATGAGTTTACAGAAGTTTCTAGAGATCTGAGGACAATAGGCCATTTCCATCTAACCACGAAATGTGCACTAGGTGTGGCCCCGAAACTCAGCCCAAGTCGTATCCTAGCTGCAGAGCACAGGTGTGCTAGGGGTGAGGACTGTGTACAGAGTGGCTTTGCTTTTAATACCAAGAAGGAGGGAAATAACTAACCATCCCAACATAGAGAACAGATAGGGAGTCCATGACTAGAAAAGAATCCTGTGTATTCCATAAATAGAATGGGAAGGAGAGAGAAGCGTTTTATAATAAAAGATTGCTAGAGTCCTAAAGTTAGAGGCAGCAGCAAAGGAGAAGATGGAGGGGGGGGGTCCCCAACTTACCAAGGATTCTTCCCCTGGCTGCGTTCGAACACAATCCAGCTCTCCTGAGCTGTGTATATCCAGTCACCAACCGTGTACTAAATAGCGAGCGGAGGCATCCTATGGACAGATACAGCCAGGCTCCTGATAGAGAAACTGAAATTCACAACCCACAAGCAGCTCATCTTCACCCACCTCAAGCATGCTGCCTGCTGGGCACCACCCTCACCCCACCCTGCTTGTTTACTCCATGAGAGGAGCCAGCTCAGGCCCCACAGTCCAGCCCATCTCGTCTGCGCTATGATCTGTGGTCTTCAAGAAGAAATAACCTGTCACAGATGCAGTGTGACACCCATGTATACCACACAATACATCCTTAGGCACAGAACGGAATACCCTCCTCTCCCAGCACAGCTGGCTCACCCACGTCCACCAGCAGCAGCAGCATGGGCCCAGTTTTTGTTGTGTGCTTTGGTGGGATGTCGTGTTCACAGCTTCTAGATATTGGCTCCCGTGTGTTCTTTTGCCAGGAGCCCCTGGCACCTGGAGCTGCCATGCAGGGCTTCCCATGGGGTCCCTCTGGCATTGCCTCAGCAGAGTCAGTGTGGCCAAGCCTTAGGCTGCTGGAATCCTGGAGAGGCTTTCTGTGAGAGGACAACGAAGGTGTTGGGAGGAAGCCTGGTGACACCTTCCCAGCCTGCTTCTGGCTGTTGCATGACCAGATAGGGAGTCTTCCTTTCCCTATCAGCTGTGGCCTGAGCTATATCTACAAGCAGCAGAGCAGAGGTGCTGAGCACAGCCTCCCTCTCCCAGTGTCTGCGGGGCACTCCCTTGCACAACAGTGGAAAAGTGTTAAGACATCATTCCTCTTGAGGCTTCAGGGGGAAAGAAACACTTTTACATTGTTGGTGGAAATGTAAACTGGTGTGACTGCCATGGAAATCAAAATGAAGATTTCTCAAAAGTTTAAAGCTAGAAATTCCTTTTGACCCAGATATTGCCCTTCTAGGTAACATCCTGAAAGAATTAAAATCATCATAGTACAGTGATACGTGCATACCCATATTTACAGGAACACAACTCTTAGTAGTTGGGCTCAGCCTACATGTTCGTGAACCAATGAATGACTAAAGAAAGTGTGGTATTTACACACAACAGAGCACTATTGCACCATAACAAAGGATACATTTGTGTCACCTGTAAGATAATAGTTGTACCTTGAGGCCATGTGTTTAAGTAAAATAAATAAGATCCACAAGCTTATATATCACAATTTTTTTGGAGAATCTCAAGTTAGAAATATAAAGCAAATAAAAGATAGACAATAGGAAGTAGGGAGATAGATTCTTTTTAAATGAAAGGGGATCAAGCGTTGAAAAAAGAGTAGGGTGAAAAAGTGGACATTAAAAGGACATTAAAAGCTAATAGCATATGTTATGGACTGGAGCCACCTTCACATAAGGAATGTAAAATTTATGCTCTGCAAATGAATCCTAATAAAAAACACAAGTTTTGAAATATCATGATTAAAAGAAAGGTCTTCTGATCATCTTCTGTTTCCCAGCTCCTGAGTGGGAGCTCAGTGAACTCCTTGGTCCTCTTTGCATCCTGCCCCATCTGGATCCAGCAGTAATTGCACACCGGTCCTTTCTGAAGTCACCTATGGGGCAGTGGGGTTCTGCTAGTGTATCTGCCCCAGCTGTTTGAAAGGTGTCTGTGTTCCCCACAAAATTACTCCATTTCTCCACCTCAATCCATGCGTTTATCTTCCATATCTCAGTATTGAAATTTCTCAGCCTTCAGGCTTAGAAACTCCAAAGCTCATTTTTATCAAGTCTTACTCCTCCCTGGTTCTCTGAGAAACAGGATTGCTAGATACTGATGCTTAGAACTTTTATTAACTGCCAGGGCTTTGGTAACCCAACTGAGACTCTCTCTCTCTCTCTCTCTCTCTCTCTCTCTCTCTCTCTCTGTCTCTGTCTTTGTCTCTGCCTTTGTCTCTGTCTCTCCCTGTCTCCCTGTCCTCTCTCTCTCTCTCTCTCTCCTCTCCTCTTCTCTCTCTCTCTCTCTCTCTCTCTCTCTCTCTCTCTCTCTCTCTCTCACTGTCTGTCTCTCTCTTTCCAGATAACAGGGACAGCACAGTTGAGGGAGGACAAGCTCCTCCTGGCTCTTCACTGAAACAGCACAATGCTCCTGAGAACCACAGTTCAGTGTTAGAAGCTGACATGATGAACTACCCAGGGTTCTGTCACTGTTGCAAAACCAGCACCAGACTGAAAGGAAGATCGTCAGCCTCATGTCAGGCTTTCGGCTTAGTTTATATAGGTTTGTAGGCAGGAAGTACAAAAGCTTGAGAATGTGGTTAACTTTTATTGGGCTGAGTTAATGATTGTCTGTTACTGGGTAAAAATATGTGAGAAAAACTGGATCTGTTTTTAGGTGGGGAAACAGACCCTGTGACTGAACATGGTCAGGCTGACCTTGGTCAGATTATCTATGAAAAGCAGTTTAGTGCAGCCAGTCTAGGCTGACTGGGTTTAGTAGCCTAGTGACTCGGCAGGCAGGATGAGTATATCTTGTGTCAATATGACATCAGGCTGCCAATGAGTTTTATCGTGTCAAAATTTCGGTCACACTGCCACTATGTGCTAGGGTCAGGGCACCTTCAGGGACGCAGGGCCATGTTTCTGAGAAATCAACCCCATCATGCTTTGCTTTTAGAGGAAGATCACATCTAAAGTGATTCAAAGTATTTCTAGAGTGAGTCCAGAGATTCTTATCTCCATGAATAAAAAGGCCTGGACGCTTCTGGTATTGTGCAGCTTGCAGTTGAGTTTGTGAGGTAATGGAGAAATGGGTGAAAGAAAAACCAGAATCCAAGCTGTGCAGGTAGACAGCCTCCCACTAATGTCAAGAAGCCTGGATTAGCAATGGAGCCTGTTTACCGCGGTGGTCCAAATGCAAAGTCCAGAACAGAGCGGTGTCTTATCACCTGGGTTAGATCTTTTCCTGGCTCCAGTCATGGCTGTGGCAGACACTGTGCGAGCCCTGTGGTCCCCATGTGGTCACCTGGACCCAGGTCCTGGCCTGAGGCTGTGCATATTCTCTCTCTTCTAAGCTTTGCTCCAATGCATGTAATGTTCTGGGTACAGATTTTGTGTGTGGGGCCTGGGGGCAATTTATTTTTTTTGTATTTTTTAAAAGTATAACACATTTGGATATACACACAAACTGTGAAATGATTACTCCAATCAAACTAATTTACACATACATAGCCTCACATACTTACGGAAATAAGTTTATTGACAATTTACATTTTTTAATAATTTTTTTGTTATTTGTGTATGTTTGCAATATTTAATAGTTACATTCATACCGGGAAATTGGTTCAACCATGTGACTGTGACATATCTTGTGATGCTTTTACTTCTCTTCCCTGTCTTTTCCCTGATCACTCCCCCCATCTTCAAAAAATCTGCCTTTTCCCTACATTTCTCTTTTATTTATTTATTTATATTACAGTTTTCTTATATAAGATAAACCATGTCATATTTAACTTCCCATATTTGGCTCATATGTTTTGTGAATTTGACTTAAGAACCATCTATCAGAAAATTAAACTTCTCTGTGTATCTGTGGTAATTATTAGATAGGTTAGTAAACTAAGGAGAAAGGATCCACTTTATTTATTTTTTAAAATTTTATTTAAAAGGAAAAAGAGAAAAAACAAAACAAAACAGTATAAGGGTACAAATAATACAGAACTACAGAAAAAAACAGTAAGAAATCACCAGTTTATAGATTACACATTATCATCTTAGAGATAGTTGCTCAAGTCACAGAATCAAAGCATACAAAGTGGACACTCAAATAGTGAGACTGCAAACAGTTGAGTTCAATGATCCAACCAAAAACATTAATATGGTCATCTATCTTAACATACCTAAACATACTTGCAGTTGTATCCTTTAGAGCACTTTTTTTTTCTCTCTTTTTTACATCAAAATTTACGCATTTTGGGTTTGGGATCCACTTTAAATGTGTGTTGCACCAACCACTATCCTGAATAGAAGAAAAGGGGAAAGAAGGAATAGTTTCTTTACTGGAGGAGCTCTGTTCTTCACCTCTGCCATTGTATCTTGGTCTCCAGTTTCTCCAGCACAGATGTGCTCTGGTGACCATGGTGAGCTACAAGGCTTTTAATTTTGTTTCGTACAGAGAAAGTTTTTACAAAATTCAATATTCATTCATTACAAAATCCCTAAAGAAATTATAACTCAATACAGCAAAGCTACATATGGCAAATGCACATCCTACACCACTCTGAATGCTTTTAAAAAGAAAGAATCCCCTCTAAAATGAGTAAAAAGACAAAGATGTCCATTCATACCACTCCTACTCAGCAGAATACTGGAAACTGTAGGTGGAACAAGTAAGGAAGAGGAAAAAAAGCAATATAATAGGAAGGAGTTCAAATTATCCTTCTGGAGATGACAAAGAAAATCCTATACAAAGAAAATCAGCTAGACTGCACTGAAAGCCCATTACAGCTGATAAAATGCAAGAAAGTAGAGCAGCATGTGGATACTCACAAACTAAGGCCTTTTCTATGTATTAATAATGAACTGAGAACAAGAAAACAATTTTATACTGTAATAAAGAAAGGGAAAGAAACTGCTTGAAAGGAAAGAACAACTGGGATAGTAAAGGAGAAAAGGAAGAAAGGAAAAGATTATATTTATGCAGCTATACAAATATAACTGTATGTGTATATGCATGCAAGAGAAATAACTATACTACCAATCTCTGTGAGTTCATAAAAAAGGATAGCTTGTGCTGTCACTGATTGTCTGATCATTTTTCGTGTCTAGGTCTTATAACCTGAAGCTAGTTCTAAGATAAAAATATGCATTATGTTAACTAATGTTAATTTCCTATTATTTTTTGAAATTATGCATCATTTCTATCCTTTTTTTCTGTTTTGCTTTAAGAAAAAAGTAAAACAATTCTACTCAACAGTTGAAAAATAAAATAAGACAATATAACAACAAAACAATGCAAAACAAAAAACACCTTAGATCAACTCAACCAAGGTGGAGAACAAACTCTATAATGCAAATTAAAGAACGTGGAATAAAAAAATTGAAGAAGAACCTAGAATAAGTTGTAATCTCCTATGATGCACAATTAATATTGTTACAGTGGGATCATCATGACCAGGAAGAGATGGCAAGCAGACTAAAGAGGTCTTTTTATTTAAAGCAGAGGTCTTCATAATAACAACAAAGTCCTCTCATTCTGTTTTTGATCTTCAACACTCACAACTCAAACACAAAATAGAAACATGAGAAATAAAGGCGAAAAAGTCTCTAAGAACTCCAAACTTCCCCAAATCAGATCCAAGAGTCATCAATGAGAAAGAAATCAGAAACTTGATGAGAATTACTCTGAAAGATAAAAGGAAAAACAAAGAAATGAAGTAAACACAAAGATGCTATAAATTAACAGATAACAAACCTAATAAAATTGACCAGTGAGCTTAAAAGCATAAATAAAAAAGTAAAAAAACTTACCAATATAATTCAACACGAATGACCAATTTAACAGGAAGCAGAGTTCATGAAAAGATACCAAACAGAAATCCAAGAGATAATGAATTCTTTTGCAAGCACATTCAGCAGAAGTGAGTA